GTCACGTCTTTCCTCTTCAAAGATCCTGTGTTAGCCTCCTAACTCCCGCATTTATCCGTTTCTCTCGTTTTTTCCCCCCCTCCTGAGCTGATCCCAGTTGACCAGATCTCTTCACCTCCTGTAAGTCCTGTCCTCTTATGTCCATTTACTCTCTCGTTCTCTCTCTCTCTCTGTCTCTCTCTACCATTCAGAATCCCATATGAGCTGCCTTTTCCTCTTATTGCTTATGGCTTTCTCCTCACCTTTGCTGACATCAGATGGAAATCTCCAGAGTGAATGGATAAAGATAAGCCCTGTGAGAGAGGACGTGACTCTCAGAGAGAGACAGAGACACACACAGAGAGCGAGAGAGAGAGGTATATGTGTGGAGGAAGGTGGGCGGAGGTAAATCCTTCATCCACCTCTTACCTCCTCACCTCTTTTCTCCGACTTGACGGAACATGCCATGGACTCAAACCCCTGGTATGTTACATTAGCATAAAGTCAGATAAATAGGATTCAACACACAGTGACCAATCAGGACACCAGCGGACATGAAGCATAAGGAAGGCACTGAGAGGGAAGGTTCCGGAAGCACCTGGAACCTCCTTAACAAACCCGTTGACAATAATTAACTAAAACTTGTATAAAAGTCCTCCAACACTTGGCTGGTACGTAAGACAGGTACCATCACACCGTCTCTCGTCCATCTCAAACAAAAGACTGACGACAACCCTAACCTTTGACCTCAACATACTGTTATACCAGGTCTTAACCCCTAACCCACCTTAGAAAGCCACGAACACAAGTAGGAGCAGAAAAAGTTTAAAAAAAAAAAACGCCTCTGTCTCGTAGAAGAAAATCTAACAGATTTGTCCTTTGTCCTTTTTTTTTTAAAGAGAGCAACCAGACTAAAGGACTTTATTAACTAAAAACGCAGGTGCAGCACAATTAGCAGGCAGCAGCTGGTGAGACACAGACACACACACACACACACACACACACACACACACAGCTTTTTCATTTGCATGCTGGATATTCAACAGTCCTTTCATTGGTCTCTGTGTCCTCTAACAGCAGGATTAGAGTCACACACAGAGCAGTGTTCCTGCTCCTCTGTTCTCAGCCGTCTTTGATGAAACAAACAAGTACTTACATTTTTTTAAAAAGTGGCCGAAGTAGATGCTACTTTTAACAATACTTCAGCAAACACACAGTCTCAAACAACATTTGTCGGCGGTGGTCGGTAATTCACACGCCTCATGGATTCTCAACGAGTGTGGTGCTGAAAGCCCGGCATAACAATGGGTTTGTGGCTGAGCAGTTAGCATTCCTGTTCCCCACAGCTCGTCCCCGAGAAGAAGAGTTTCCTAATCGCAGTCCAATAAAGTTTGGAGATTTACCAACATGGAGTGAATAGTTAAGACGTCTCCAAAGGGTTGTGAGTGGATTCTTCTCAACAACAAGGCTGAGAATTCCACGAAGTGTCCGTCATGTCGTGCATGAGCAACAACTTTCACCAGAATCATGGCTGCAGGCCACAGACAGTTTCTAAGAAGCTGAGAGGGAGGGAAAAGCAAGGTGTAGAAGTAAGGCACTCTCTATCTCAGCAGCTTCACTGCCCTGAAGAGCATGGTTGGACAGTTGAGTACAGCTTCCCTGGTCTGTGGAGCTGTACACCTCCAACACAAGTGAGGAAATATTTCGCTTAAAACCTTAAACAAGGACTTAAACAAGGCCAGAATCTCAAATCATGGTTCAATTCCGTTCTGTTTTAGTAATAAATAAATAGAACTGAAATGATCCCACTCTGGGGAGGCTGTTGTGTAAACAGCAGATCTGTTGCAATAGGCTGTACAACAGTACATGGTTGAGACTGACAGTTACTGACAGTTAAATGAAGTCAAACATTTACAAAACTGTTCTTCCAAGTCCCTCACTTCATTTCTTCCTCTTGGGTTTTCAATCAAAGCCCTGTGTGCCATTCATGTATTCTCTATGGACTTTGGTGAAGAAGCCAGATCAGTGTATGAGTCTGATGTAGACTGGGTTAATGTTCAGGGACTGGGCGTCAAGGTGTGGCTACTAACAGGAAAAAATAAAACAGATAATGGAAGATAAAACCACTTTGGGCATTTCCCTTCATCGTGGGGTCTTAACAGTGGTAGCAAGTCTCGTGATTTGGCAGAGCATTTACTGTATATCTCATGTCCTTCCTGCCACTGAACTGAATGTCACTGTTTGTTTGACAATGTGAAAATCACCTACGTAAAAATAGAAATTAAACGACTGTAAACGTAGTCTCCACTCCAATAAAATGTCCACTTAAAATTCTGTTCAAAACCAAGTGTCAAAAGGCCTGAAAATCCAATATATCCAACTTATTATTGTCTCAACTACCTATGGCCCTTTAAAAGCCCGAGACCCGGTGGTTGAGATTAGGTTTTTTAATGTCATGCAGAAACATGTGAGTGACTAAAATGAGTTTTTCTTTGCTTCTGTTATGTTATTTAAACTGTTAAACAGCTTTTAATGAACTTTTTCGTAGGTTTAACATGACACACTGTGCCAGTTCCTATTAGAAGAGAAGAGCAGTAATCTGCACGGGTGAGGGTTCTGGGTGCAGCCTGAGAGAGATCATGATGAGGACGTGATGGCAGAGATGAAGTGGCAGGATAATCATTTCCTGCAGCCTCAGGGACTCTCACTTTAACTACTGCACACTTTTGAGCCGCGAGGTGTTAAACGGTTGATTAGCATTCGGCACGAGCTGCCTCCTGCACCATAGGCTCCGTCCTCTCCGCTTAACGCCTCTCTGTTAAATCTCTTTGGTTCTGGGTTCTGTTGGACATTGAACACAAAACCTCATGTTCTGGGCTGGCAGCTGAGACGCACTGACAGCTGCCATCACTGTGTGAGCAGAGACGTTGTCCGACTTTGTGTGATGGTTCATCACTCGGCATACCCTCTGAGAGGAGGAAAACACTGAGACTCGGACTCGGACTCGGAGTGTTTCTGAATCTTGGGGTTGTGAACCCACATGGGGTCGCCTGAATTGTCTAACAATTGATGGATAGACAGAAAAAGCTAATCTTATTCTTTTTAAAATTATAATTAAAATCAGCACACACGATCTTAGACGGGTGTATTCTTTCACTTTCATGAATATTAATCCAGCATGTAAAAACTAAAATGTAGCTCATGTGATGTCAGAATGAGGTCACAAGCCAAAAACGGTTGGAAATAAGTGGTTCAAGGTGTCATCATCTGCCCTGAGTGTCAGGATCTGACAGGATATGGATATGCTCCTACTGCACAGCAAATCGACAGTTATTAAACTCACCCAGTGGAGTCGTGGTCACATGATCATTTGTAAGTGGCCTGTGCTTTCCTGCAGCCGTAGTGGAAATAAATGGCTGTCCTTTTGACCTCAGGACACAGGATCAGTGAAGTCCCGACCTGACAACAGAAAAAGAGACAAAAACAACTATTAAAGAAAAAATGAATTTGAGCAAAGCCTGTATTACTTGCTGAAAATTCTAAACTGCCATTTGAATATGTGATTTGCATAGTAGAACAGAAATAGAATCACTAGTTTGATCCCAGCTGGTAACTGCTGGTCTTCCCGGTCCAAACACATGCAGATTGGAGATTAAGTTTACTGTGTGGTTGACTCTTAACTGACCGCAGGTGTGAATTGCCGTTTGTCTCTACATGTGCCTCTGTAAATCAGCCACGGATGAATTACATTTTGTTTCATCCTGTTGTTTTGTGGTAACCCACATCAATACCACTTGTAACGAGTGAACGTAGTGTACAACTGCAGATTTTTGTTTCTCAAACTCCAATCTTCCAACACTGAGTTGTGTTCTGTCCATTCTGCAGGCTTGGTCATGTCCTTTGTTCTGAGTCAGTGTCAGTGGTGAGTCTGCTGAGCGTCATGAGAGGCTGCAGCCTGCCCCACATCCCTGGTAATTGAAGCTAAGAGCTTTATCTGGAGTCAGGCTCTCAGGTCGTGGTCTGATTGGGGGGGGAGGGGGGTCTAGCGGGGGGCAGGATGTGAACAGCTCTCTAGAGACAGTCAGTGGCGACTGGTCGCTGTCTTTCATCCCCCTCTTCACCCCACCCCTCCGCCACAGCCTCCTGCACCTCTCCATCTGAGTTAATGAAGAAGTCTTTTACTCGCTCTATGACCTCCTGGTGGGAGGAGCCATGAGGTCACAGTTATTTGCCTCCATTGTTTCCTCTGTCACTGAAATCTGTAAATACATCAGATAAAAACAAGAACTAACCCACGGAGGAATAGAAATCTTTCTCTCTCTCCCTGTACCTCCGTCTCTGACACCACCAGGCTAATTTTACTCCTCCCACCAGACGGACGTGGGTTGGGGGAGCTCACACGTTCAGAAGTGTTATTTTGAGCAGCCATGTTAAGAAGTAGGATGAGGCTAAAAGCGACCTGAAGGCAGCTTATCTAGGATCAGAGGTTGGCTCTCTGGACTTGCAGCGACCAGTGTATTCGTGTGCCTGTGAACTGTGGTCAGCGACTCTGTAGAGAAATACTCTGCACCAAACTAGAATTTCTACACTACACTTTGTGCTGCACAGCACTGCACAAAAAATAAATGGAAAAAACTGGGGTGTTACAGGTGTTCAGTGCTGGCTTTGGACTGGCATCACATGCAGCCGAACCATTCAGAGCATTTTGGGCAGGGCTAACATTGCTGCAGCTCTCACATGAACAGAAACATGAAAGAAACATAAATATTTTATTAAGAGTTATTTGTAACTCCTGTCCTGTTTTCGTCACTGTGCTAAAGAGTCTGAAGTATTACTTCAGTACAGTATACAACTGTTATTTGAACTGCAGGCACTTCACTTTCTACCGTTGTCATTCTGTCAACACAACAGTTATTTTTTTTCTCAACAGGTAGTAATGACAACCTGACACTGAGTACAGTGATGGTAAAATTGCATGTTTGAGTAGCTTCATATTCAACTGTATCTCCTTCTTATTGCAGGAAGTGAGATTGTTCCCCCCGATTGTCTGCGCCCACGCTCCTTCACCACTGTACGCTCCGCCTCTCTGCGGCGCGAAGCAGACGACTCTCGTCTGTCTGTCAGCCTGTGTGACCTCAACCTGCAGCAGGAGGAGTTAGGCAACGCCCACAATCACTCCCACCGTCACACCCTGCACCTGTCCTCCACAGCCTCCTCCTCGTCCACCTGCCCCATCCCACAGAACTCCCTGAACTCCCAGCAGTCCTCTCTCCTGCCGTCGGCCCTGGAAAGTGACCTCCACTTCCACCAGCTCCGTGGTGCTCACATCAAGACCCTGGATGAGCAGACAGTTGCTCGCTCAGAGCACGCCCGAGAAGAGCGCACGCTGGTCTTCACCAATCGTCCCCTACGCATCGGAGAGACCGTCTTCATCAAAGTTACCAAATCCAGCCCGGCGCGCTCAGGTTCCCTGTCTTACGGTGTGACGTCCTGTGACCCGGCCATACTGCGCCCAAGTGACCTGCCATACAATCCTGAGGCTCTGGTGGACAGGAAGGAGTTCTGGGCGGTGTGTCGGGTGCCCACTCCTCTTCAAAGCAGTGACATTCTAGGTTTCTTGGTCAACCAAGAGGGGGAGGTCATCCTCAGCCACAATGGCACCAATGTGGGCATGCAGGTGTGCGTGGACAACTCCCGCCCCCTCTGGATGTTCTTCGGTCTTCATGGAGCCGTGTCTCAGCTGAGGATTTTAGGTGAGTTGATCAAATTATTTCTGAATCTCATGTCCCTTGGTCTAAGTCTCATCTGAAATAAAGGATGCATTGCAGAGATAAAGGGATAAGAAGCCCACCAGATGTTCTGAGAGGAGTTCTGAGTCACTCAGAGAGGTGTGGGATTCTCAACATCACTAGGATAGTGTTTCAGCTGATGCAGAAAAAAAGTTAAAAAATAAAGGCAATTGACCTTTTTTAAACAGAATAACATGCAGTCAGGAATGAAGGATTGAACCCAAATCCTGGCCTAGTGATTTGACATGTGATAGTAGGTGGCCTGTTTGAATCTCAGCTCTAACAGGGCTGTACTGAGTCAGTGAGTCAAAGTGAGTCAGTAGCAGATGTACAGATACAGAAAAAAAAAGACACAGCAGTAGAGCCAGAAGTAGATGCTACAGCATGTCACGACAGGGAACACAAACAACAGGAAATGCACAATCAGATGTGGAGCAGAGCTTCTGTGGCCGACCTGCCTGCAGCAGAGAGGACATAATGTCTCAGTTGGGGGGGCACTTAGCCTGCTAGTGGGGCACCAGAGCACCTGAGGTTTGTTTACCCTTCTCTAAATGCTAATAATGACAGAAGCAGAACAAGTGTATGTGTGAGTGTGTGTCCTGACGGGCCATTTTCTTTTTTTTTTCAACACAATGTGTGAGCTGCTACTACTGCTGCAAAAATCCTCCAACAGAAAGCAGGAGTGTGCATCTGAATATAACGCACACATAACAGAGAAAGGGAGATGTGGATACGCTTTTTCATCAAGCATCCTGATTGGCCAGTTTTGCTACATAGACGTCATATCTTCTGTCTGGGTTAAAGGTGGAGGCCAGACTATAGTGAAACCTTTGATCTGATGGTTTGACACTGTTGAATAATCATGGTACTCCTAATGTGTAAGAAGTTTTATCATTCAGCTGAAGAAGTCAACAGGTCACAACAAGATGTCTTTTCTTTACTCTGGTACTCAAACATTCAGTGTCACACTACACGGCTTATCGTCAGGGTGGTCCATGGTTGACCCCTGGAGATGTGATCAATCTCCATCCAGCAGACACCAATTTGTCAAAGTGGTGATCAAAGCGATCTCATCAGGTTGATCGATGTTCAACAAGTCTGTTACCTCTCAACGTCACAGTTGTTTCTTGCATAGTTGGTCTTCATTGACTGTCTGTCTTCATACGCTCATCAATCGCTCAGTCGCTGTTGTTGTTGAATTACAAGAGAGGCTGAGATTGAAGATATGAAAACCCAACAACCAAAACTCTGTCATGAACCCACCGCCATCCATCCTATTTTTACCACAGATTCGAACTCTCGACACTAAAGTTTTTTAGAAGAAATTTCTGACAACGGCCGTTTCCATAAATGTTCCTTCAAGTGGGAAGATAAATGCACTTGTACAAACAAGACCGCCAAAACATAGATTTGAATTATAAAAAATACATTTTTAAGAGTAAAAGAATGCATGTGTCCATGGGTAAAGGTTTTGTGACAGACCACTTAAGAGGCCCAGCAGTCAAAACAGCTGCAGCGCTTTTAAGGTGTCACAAGTGTTTGTCTGTTGAGGAGGAGGAATCTAAAAATACATCCTGCTTTCATCAGTGACAGCAGCGGGAAAAGGAAGCAGTGGTTGGACGAGGTTAGGAGGGGAAACCTCCGATGAGAGCAGGCACGCAAGAGGAAGGATTCAAAGAAGTTTAACTTTATGCATGCATTTCTTTCATTGAAATCCCTTACTTTAACATGTGCAGAACAGAATATTGCTGTCAGACAGTTTGACCCACTTGGACCTGGGTTATACTAGATGCTCATGCTCCAATTATCTAAAAGACAGGAGTCACACCCGACTTTAGAAGCGTTCTTATCCAATCAGTCCTCATCCTAAACCAGATCGTGGTACATGTGGCTTGACTATCTATAAGAGTTAGGGTTGAGAAATGGTTAAAAGTAATGTAAAAATACAGGTTAAACCTTGGTTTCCTCAATGTCAAAGTTTTACTGGAAAAACCAGTCAAAGAGAAACACGTCCGACGTGTAACTACTAAAACATCTTTCCTCCTGCACTGGGACAATGACAGGAGTCTAGGTAAGGAGCCGAGCGGAGCTCCCGTTTCACCTCCACAGTGTTTGTAGACATACAGAGTCATTGACCTGGACCAGAGAGTCTTGGCAGCAGAACAACACAGGGATACGAGAACAATAAGAGCAGGTCTTCCTACCGGACACATCTTGGAGGTTTCCATTAATGTGGAATCATCTTTACTTTGCAGCTGCTTCCATCTAGACGCACGTCTTTATCGCACGAGTGCAGGAACTTCTGTTTTTCTTGATGCTCAGTTTGATCTCTGACCTTGTACACTGAATCACACGTTCTAAACTAACCAGGATGAGCAGTCATCCAAGAAGTTTTTTTTATTTTATTTTTTTAAACTTTACAGGTTAATAATCCAGGCCTGCCACAGGTTATTGATACAAAAGTCAATTTTTTGTTTTGGCTTTAAATCCTGAAATGTTCAACCGATGACTGATGAAAACTGCCTGTGACCCTTTGTGGTTTTGTTTGTTGGTAATCAGTGGTGATTCGTGATTGGCTGTGTTCAAAGCTATCTTCTAATATCTTGGCATGAATACAGCAACATCCAGTCAAAATAAACCACCAGTCTGTCGATGGTGGGGAAATATCCAGCCAACAGCCTCGGCTCAAACAGACAAGTCCTCTTTAATGCCCTGTTGGTAGTTTTGAAATTCAAGTCTGTTCAGGTGGGTTGTTATTGTTTTGATCACAGGGATCTAGGTATTTACTCTGCTGACACCACACTGATGTGATGTGTGTAGTAACAACACTCCATGTACACCAACAGACCGAAGTCCTCGAGTTGAGACAAGTCACAGTGGTTCCCTCCAAGATCCATCTGTTCTGTCTTTACCTGCCACACAACCCATTCAGTTAAGTTGGGTTTGAATAAAAAAGGAGTCTTAGAGAGAGATAAAGAGACAGAGAGACAGAGAGACAGAGAGACAGAGAGACAGAGAGACAGAGGGAGAGGGAGAGAGAGAGAGGGGGAGAGAGAGAGGTAGACAGTAGGAGAATCAAATCAGAGCGAGAGAGAGAGCGAGAGACCTTGTAGTCCAGGGTGTAGAAATAGGACACCGATCATGTGACCCACTTCACATGTATTATAGACTCCATTAAAGTGTCAGAACGCTCAACATCAAGTGAAGCATTTCAGCCGCCCACATCCTCAACTCTGAGGCAGCAAAAATCTTCATCCTCTCCTCTTCCCTATTTCCTCTCTTTCTTCTCCTAATTTTCCTTTCTTTCCCCCGTCAATTTATTTTCCCCTTCTTGTTTGTCCTCTCTTTTTTCTGTCATCCTCCTCTCTTACCTCTCCTCTCACCTACCTTCTTGTCATTTTCCGTTCATGCTCACAGATAACTGACCTGTTCAAACAAACGGTGTCTTGTTATTTATCCACGCTGCCGTCATAAATAAATAATTTTTTACATCAGGATGATGATGAACACGCCTGTGGGGCTTGACTAAGACTTGGAACAGAAGCTGCAGAACTATGAGATGTTAAGTAAGATGCAGTGACCTCCGTGAAGCAATGTGTTCGTCTGTGTGTTTATCCTTCCTCTATCCTGTGGACTGGGACAGATGGATTCTGTCATGTACAGTGTCACTTTTTTTTTGCTGCAACAACTGCGACCCTCGTGATACGATCGACCTGATACACGGGTTAGCAACGGTAAACGAGTAGCGACCGTCATATCTGATTATTTTCTGGCGCTTGATGCCTCGTGCCACTCCCCTGACAAATGCCACCCTGAGCAGCTGCAGATCCGAATCTGCCTATGCTTTCAAAACGGACAGTCGGGGTTAGTAACTGACACTAACTAAGACACATGTTACGTACAACAAATCCTCTGCATCTAAATGGACACTAAGGAAAATGTCCGCCGCCTCTGTCTTCCTATCTGTAAGGTTGACTTTGAGCCACGACCAAACTCTATGACTCACACAAACCCTCGGGGCGTCAGGGTGATCCTCTCACACATAAACATACTCTTGCACTTTTGCCCTCCTTCGTCTCCCTCATCCCAGGCCCCACCCATCTCTCTGGTCACATACCCCACATAGCTGCCATGGTTTAAGGGAGGAGTCTCCCTCATAGTCATTCTAAAGATGGATGGATGGATATCTGGGTGGTTGGACGAACATGGAGAAGAGCAGATAGTAGTAAAGGCCGAGCCGGCAGAGCTGCAGCGTAGGCTCTTACAGCTGTTTGCATGGGTCAGATTAATCTGGTGGTGAATGAGGTGTGGGGGAGTGGGGGGGTCAGGGATGGGCACCAGAGATCCTACTCCAGCTGCCCAGGGTGGGAGGGGCCTGAGCACCAAGGGGATTAGCAGAGACGGACACACAGACAGTATCTGAAAAAGCAGAATTCGACACTTCATTATAACCTAAGGTAGAACCTCCAGTCACGGCACATCAGCACTTCATTTGTAACTGCTGTTAAATAGTTCCTCTCTTTATACAGTACATGTTCATTCTAATGAACCATCACAACATAATAAACATGTATACATTTATTAAGAAAGTCTTGTTCCCTCATTCTCATGAGAAACACGGCTCGGTTTACATTCGCCGGTGGTACACCATTAAAAAAAAAATCCCCTTATTATGGATCACAAGCATGAGTATTTTGTTGCCATTGCTTATCAGACCATTGGAGAAGACAACTCAACAGCACACTTTCTGTATGGTTGCAAACAGAAGCGTATGAAGTTAGCTGTGGCTAACATCATGTAGTAGCAATAGTTTTCTGACCAAAAGGTTCCACTTTCCTAAATCATCATTTCATGACAAAAATTCAAGTTGATTTTTTTTTTCAGTACCGCTAGGAACCAAATCATCACATCGTCGGAAGTCGGGGACCCCTGCCACTCTTCCATTTCTAGGTGGCAATAATACATCACATTACTGCCAACCAGTATGGCAACACATTTTTGTTTACTTAATTTTCCACATAGAAATGTTCCAATCAGGAAACAAGAAAAAAAAAAATGTCAGCATCAACGTTAGCATCAAGGCAGCATATACTTCCTGTGACCACTAATTTATGAATTTATTTATTAGAAAAGTCCTTTCTACTTGATCTTAACTTCCTGTTTAAGTTTACTCCCTCGTCCTGCAGCATCTTGCTTTCCTTCGCCACACATAAAAAGAACATAAACAACACTTTATTTAGAGCTGACATGGAGTCAGGAATATATTTCAATGTCAGCCTGACAGGGAGCTGACAGGGAGTCAGGAATATATTTCAATGTCAGCACACAGACGATAAATTGTGTCGGCGTTGTATAGAACAAGTGATGTGTCACTGTCATGTGTGCCTAGCCTCATGGCCAGTGTGTGTGTCTGTGTGTGTGTGTGTACTCATACTTGTGGCTGCTGTTGTTTCTATACATAGACAGTGGGTTTACCATCTCTCACGCATACTGTCTGAATAAGAAGAATGGGGGCTCTCCCCACTAAAACCCTAATCTGTCAATAAAACTGCCCCAAGTGACCTGTTACATCATGCCATACATACATGTAAACCCTTGGAGGTGCTGACAATATAAAGGTGCTGACAATATAAATGGAAAAAAAATGTTTGAAAGGAATAACAATTCCTCTGCAAAAATGTTAACATACATATAGTAACATATACCTACAATTAAGTCCAACCAACCAGTGAGTCCAACCAATGAGTCCACTAGAAGGTTTTTAATTCCCATCTTCTACAACAGTTTATCATGTTATTGTAGCTTTATTATGATCAAACTTCCTTTTCTTCTTTTGCACCAAACAGGCTCCACCCACCAGGCAGATATTCGAGCCACATCCAACCCCAGCTCGCCCTCTTCCTCTCCACACATCACCAGTGTCCTGGACAGTGGCAGCTCTGACCCTGTCCTGAATGGAGGCCTGTGCTCTGCTGCCTACTGCAGTTCAGCAGAGGGTAAGTACACTCAGAGAGGGGCAGAGAATCAATCTCCCTACGGGGGGTCAGTGGAGAGGTCGTTAAAAAACTGGAGAGCATATGTTGTCATGCTGCAGTTAGAAACAATGACCACTGCTTCACAGAACGGCAGCTGGAGGCAGAAGAATGCAGAGCACGGGCAGTGACATCACATTGTTATGTAAATGTGTCCGTCGTTTTTAAGATGGATGTCGGAAGCTAACATGCTTCTCAAACCTGGTAATGGACCCGTCACACCTGGTGCTGAACATACACATTGGGCCCTAACCAGTCACTCATGAGAGGATTGAGTGTTGTGTTTCACACCTGGTATTAGAACGTGTCCTGTAGGTGTCTCCAGTGACCACGTGTGATTATTATGTCTGTTGTCTGACCACAGAAAGGAGCTGTGAAATTTAAACCTCATTTCCAAGAGCCAGGCCTGATTCTTTACATGGTCACAGCTCAGGATCGTTCAGGATCGTTGTTTATCTACTCTCACTCACTCTCTTCATGTCTTTCTTTCTACCCCATTTTTCTCTTTCATCCTTGGCAGAAGGATTTGTCTCCAAAATTTGTTGAAGGACTTAAGAACATACATCATTTAAATAACTTAATGTTCCTTCAGCAAAACTGCAGATGGGGTTCTGACTTTAAACATTATTATGGTTCCATCACTTAAACGGTATGTCTTTTTTATACTCTGACTCTTCTTGTGTCCCAGGTACTACCCCCAACTCACCCGTCAGCATCCCCAAGTCGCCGACGTTCCCATCAGGCCGTGGACCTTGGTCCGACGAGTGCTCCATCTGCTATGAGAACACGGTGGACACCGTCATCTACTCCTGCGGGCACATGTGTCTGTGCTACACCTGCGGCGTCAAGCTCAAGAAGATGTCCAACTCATGCTGTCCCATCTGCAGAAGACAGATCAAAGACATTATCAAAACGTACCGCAGCACGTAAGACCAGGCTGAACCAGAGCCAAACACCAGAGTCAGGGACACAGACACCAAAGTTCGCTCAGTATGAACTCTGGTTCTGTAAATTTGATATTTTCATAAATTTACTGTCGGTCGGTTTTCCCTCCTGACCTTTTCTAATGCCGGCGCCGCCTCATTGGAAGGTTCTAGGTCACATTAGAAAGTTGACGTTGCAACAAATCAGCGGCTTCAGTAGAAGGTTCTACTCAGTAATCTATTCCTGCCGAAGTGTTTTCTCTTGACTTCAGACTAGAAATACTCTGAAGGACAGAAGAAAACCCAAGTTTTTCCTAAATTCTTTCCTTAATTGAGCCATGTTTTAAAAAATTAAGAATAAAAACTGAGGTCTGGATAGTAGCTCTTTCAGCAGGTGACTGAATCGTCCTGACTGACGGAGTGACACGGAAGCACAGCCACATCAACCATCAGAACAGTGTGTCACAACTTGTGTCTGTGCACAACTGAGTGTCAGAAATGACAGGTCAGCTCGCTGTCCAGATGAAGAAATGACGAACCTCTGTGATCCTCGTGCTGGTGATTAGTGAGTCATGTGTATAGAGATGCAAGGTGGTGCCGAGTATATTCAGTAGGATCGTGACATCTGTTGTACTCATATAATCAAATGTACTTTAATGGTAGTTCTATTGCAACAGTCAGTGGTTGGTCTGTCGTCGTGCTAGCTAGCTGCTTGCTCTGCAGTGTGGTGTAGTGCACTGAAATCAGCATTGTCCTCTCACAAATGCCCCACAACAGACAGAGAGGACGGCAATGGTCACATGGTCAAACTGTCCGTACACATTTGTCTAGCAGATTAAGATATTCAAATATTGGTAAAGGCAACAGGAAGTGGGAATAAACCCACACTTCATTCTAATTCTCCTCAGGGCCGATGTATGCTTTTTTTTAAAGAAAAAAAGAAAATGTAAATACCATCCAAAACTCTGCCAAAAAGACCTGAGTCGAACTTTCCATGTCCTTAAAGAGTAGCTAATGTTAGCTCTGTTTACTCTAACAGAACTATTGAAGCTAACATTAGCTCTGGTGTCTGTAACAGGACTGTTGTAGCTAATGTTAGCTCTGGTGTCTGTACGAGGACTGATTTAGCTAATGCTAGCTCTGTTGTTTCTACCAGGACTGTTTTAGCTAACACTAGGTCTGGTGTCCGTATTAGCACTGTTGTAGCTAACGTTACCTTGTTTCTGATTAGCAGCTTGCTAAGACGACTGTACCAAACATAACTCCCAGCAGTTTTTTCCATGTGCACCTAGCACCTCTTCTACAAAGAACATGGATTGATTTAAATTTAAAACAGAGAACCTGGAACATTTTGTAAATATAGGTTCTGTTGAAACATTCTGTGCAGCTAAATCTCTTCCTGCATAAAACAAAAGAAACATCCTCTCAGTCTTTAGTGTTCGTGGGTAAAAGATAGACTGGACCAGAACATTTGATTGCCATTTCAAGCCTTTGTGCTGATGGACTGGAAAATAGGACTCAGGTCTGATGAAGCTTCGTACACTGTGAGCAGTCCTGACAAATTGACACACAAAAAAAACATAGCTCCAATCACACACCTGTAGTCCAAAGGTCACATTAACGGCAACACAGACTCCTGCCTTAACACACAGATGGTTCTCCTGGACTGTACCCGCACCCTGAAAGAGAACCAACAATGCTGTTAGTAATTTAAACTCAGAAGAGAAAAAGCACACCAATTTAAAGCTATTTTTGTAATTCAAATTCAATACATTTCCAATATTTAATTATTTAAGTGTATGAGAAATTTGTGAATAGACTTTCACCAGCAGCACAGAGCCTTTACGGGAATCCATTCAGGGGAAGGGAAATGAAAAGCTCATATTTTGAATATTAATACGAGTCCTTTCCTACGTCATCACGTCCATTATAATCGACACAGCCCAGGCCCATATCATCTGTATATAACCCATTTTAGCAGGAAGCCATAGCTAATGAGAGTCAATTTCTAAATGACATGGTCTTTCATGTTGGAGATAATCATCGGATACAAAAGCATAGACCGTTAATAGAAGAAGGATGCAGTCTTTGGGTCAATGCCACTTTTACCTGCAGGGCTGAGTTAAAAGTTGTTGTGCTATGAACCAGGTTTATGTAAGATGGCGCTTAGGTGTAGTTAAAAAACACAACCAAGGTTCTCAGTTATCCAGGTCATTTTATCTGAAGAAGTTCAGAAGAAGACATCTGGTTCTTCACTTCTGAAGTCCAGAACCATATTTCTAAACTGCTTTGGAAATCTCAGATAACTCGAGAAAAAAAAAAAATTGTGCATTGCAAGACCGATCAGGATGCTCCAGGTCTAGCAGGTGCTTTAAGAACAGACATGCACACTCTCTGCCACTTGATCCTGGAATCAGGGAGCTGCAGTTAACTGCCCTGCACCCTGCCCTGTTTGAGTGGTTTAAAATATTTATGATACTTAAAATGTATTAATTAAAAAAGGACTTGGTTTGTCAAGTTGCTCTCTCCCTGTACGACTGAATCCTCTCTCTATACGGTCTGTGGCTCAACCCTAGGCTGCTGTGGTTTTTCAGCTTCTCTCCTGCCTCCGTGAACACAGACAGTGATGCCTGACTCCATGACGCTCCACACGCCCCTCCTTTCACTTTATAGTGTAACTAGGCTACAGCTTGAAGTGCTCATTTACATTTGAATGTTCAGGATCGTTGTTTATCTACTCTCGCTCACTCTCTACAGCTTATTCGACTGTACGTAGATGATAGTGTTGTTTATCTACTCTCGCTCACTCTCTTCATGTCTTTCTTTCTACCCCATTTTTCTCTTTCATCCTTGGCAGAAGGATTTGTCTCCAAAATTTGTTGAAGGACTTAAGAACATACATCATTTAAATAACTTAATGTTCCTTCAGCAAAACTGCAGATGGGGTTCTGACTTTAAACATTATTATGGTTCCATCACTTAAACGGTATGTCTTTTTTATACTCTGACTCTTCTTGTGTCCCAGGTACTACCCCCAACTCACCCGTCAGCATCCCCAAGTCGCCGACGTTCCCATCAGGCCGTGGACCTTGGTCCGACGAGTGCTCCATCTGCTATGAGAACACGGTGGACACCGTCATCTACTCCTGCGGGCACATGTGTCTGTGCTACACCTGCGGCGTCAAGCTCAAGAAGATGTCCAACTCATGCTGTCCCATCTGCAGAAGACAGATCAAAGACATTATCAAAACGTACCGCAGCACGTAAGACCAGGCTGAACCAGAGCCAAACACCAGAGTCAGGGACACAGACACCAAAGTTCGCTCAGTATGAACTCTGGTTCTGTAAATTTGATATTTTCATAAATTTACTGTCGGTCGGTTTTCCCTCCTGACCTTTTCTAATGCCGGCGCCGCCTCATTGGAAGGTTCTAGGTCACATTAGAAAGTTGACGTTGCAACAAATCAGCGGCTTCAGTAGAAGGTTCTACTCAGTAATCTATTCCTGCCGAAGTGTTTTCTCTTGACTTCAGACTAGAAATACTCTGAAGGACAGAAGAAAACCCAAGTTTTTCCTAAATTCTTTCCTTAATTGAGCCATGTTTTAAAAAATTAAGAATAAAAACTGAGGTCTGGATAGTAGCTCTTTCAGCAGGTGACTGAATCGTCCTGACTGACGGAGTGACACGGAAGCACAGCCACATCAACCATCAGAACAGTGTGTCACAACTTGTGTCTGTGCACAACTGAGTGTCAGAAATGACAGGTCAGCTCGCTGTCCAGATGAAGAAATGACGAACCTCTGTGATCCTCGTGCTGGTGATTAGTGAGTCATGTGTATAGAGATGCAAGGTGGTGCCGAGTATATTCAGTAGGATCGTGACATCTGTTGTACTCATATAATCAAATGTACTTTAATGGTAGTTCTATTGCAACAGTCAGTGGTTGGTCTGTCGTCGTGCTAGCTAGCTGCTTGCTCTGCAGTGTGGTGTAGTGCACTGAAATCAGCATTGTCCTCTCACAAATGCCCCACAACAGACAGAGAGGACGGCAATGGTCACATGGTCAAACTGTCCGTACACATTTGTCTAGCAGATTAAGATATTCAAATATTGGTAAAGGCAACAGGAAGTGGGAATAAACCCACACTTCATTCTAATTCTCCTCAGGGCCGATGTATGCTTTTTTTTAAAGAAAAAAAGAAAATGTAAATACCATCCAAAACTCTGCCAAAAAGACCTGAGTCGAACTTTCCATGTCCTTAAAGAGTAGCTAATGTTAGCTCTGTTTACTCTAACAGAACTATTGAAGCTAACATTAGCTCTGGTGTCTGTAACAGGACTGTTGTAGCTAATGTTAGCTCTGGTGTCTGTACGAGGACTGATTTAGCTAATGCTAGCTCTGTTGTTTCTACCAGGACTGTTTTAGCTAACACTAGGTCTGGTGTCCGTATTAGCACTGTTGTAGCTAACGTTACCTTGTTTCTGATTAGCAGCTTGCTAAGACGACTGTACCAAACATAACTCCCAGCAGTTTTTTCCATGTGCACCTAGCACCTCTTCTACAAAGAACATGGATTGATTTAAATTTAAAACAGAGAACCTGGAACATTTTGTAAATATAGGTTCTGTTGAAACATTCTGTGCAGCTAAATCTCTTCCTGCATAAAACAAAAGAAACATCCTCTCAGTCTTTAGTGTTCGTGGGTAAAAGATAGACTGGACCAGAACATTTGATTGCCATTTCAAGCCTTTGTGCTGATGGACTGGAAAATAGGACTCAGGTCTGATGAAGCTTCGTACACTGTGAGCAGTCCTGACAAATTGACACACAAAAAAAACATAGCTCCAATCACACACCTGTAGTCCAAAGGTCACATTAACGGCAACACAGACTCCTGCCTTAACACACAGATGGTTCTCCTGGACTGTACCCGCACCCTGAAAGAGAACCAACAATGCTGTTAGTAATTTAAACTCAGAAGAGAAAAAGCACACCAATTTAAAGCTATTTTTGTAATTCAAATTCAATACATTTCCAATATTTAATTATTTAAGTGTATGAGAAATTTGTGAATAGACTTTCACCAGCAGCACAGAGCCTTTACGGGAATCCATTCAGGGGAAGGGAAATGAAAAGCTCATATTTTGAATATTAATACGAGTCCTTTCCTACGTCATCACGTCCATTATAATCGACACAGCCCAGGCCCATATCATCTGTATATAACCCATTTTAGCAGGAAGCCATAGCTAATGAGAGTCAATTTCTAAATGACATGGTCTTTCATGTTGGAGATAATCATCGGATACAAAAGCATAGACCGTTAATAGAAGAAGGATGCAGTCTTTGGGTCAATGCCACTTTTACCTGCAGGGCTGAGTTAAAAGTTGTTGTGCTATGAACCAGGTTTATGTAAGATGGCGCTTAGGTGTAGTTAAAAAACACAACCAAGGTTCTCAGTTATCCAGGTCATTTTATCTGAAGAAGTTCAGAAGAAGACATCTGGTTCTTCACTTCTGAAGTCCAGAACCATATTTCTAAACTGCTTTGGAAATCTCAGATAACTCGAGAAAAAAAAAAAATTGTGCATTGCAAGACCGATCAGGATGCTCCAGGTCTAGCAGGTGCTTTAAGAACAGACATGCACACTCTCTGCCACTTGATCCTGGAATCAGGGAGCTGCAGTTAACTGCCCTGCACCCTGCCCTGTTTGAGTGGTTTAAAATATTTATGATACTTAAAATGTATTAATTAAAAAAGGACTTGGTTTGTCAAGTTGCTCTCTCCCTGTACGACTGAATCCTCTCTCTATACGGTCTGTGGCTCAACCCTAGGCTGCTGTGGTTTTTCAGCTTCTCTCCTGCCTCCGTGAACACAGACAGTGATGCCTGACTCCATGACGCTCCACACGCCCCTCCTTTCACTTTATAGTGTAACTAGGCTACAGCTTGAAGTGCTCATTTACATTTGAATGTTAACTAATGTATTTAGAGAGACACATGATTCTTATCAGTGTGTGTGTGTGTGTGTGAGAGACTAAAAAAAAACAGATAAAAAAACAACTTTTCTTTGTGTCTGTAATAGGACGGTGGATAATCGTCGTTTTTCTTGTTTATCTAAAAGCAACAGGAACTTCAGTTTTACATTTTCGGGTGAGACTTTTCTCTCTTCTAGCTCCAGATTTTATCGTCTACAATCGGAACCTCATTTCTTGTAGTACAGAAGATGAACTGGTGTTTTTATTACAATCTCTGACTTTCAGGTCTTTTTCTCTTCTTTTTTTTTTGTAATTTATCTTCTCTTGTGTTTGTGTGAGTGTGTTTACAGTATTTGAGTATGTGTGTGTGCGTGCCGCCCCACCACCCTCCTCTTTATTTATGCCGTAGGCTGTGTCATGATGTAGTGTGAGAGCCATGCTTTTTGATAAATGTCACTTTATGAAGCTACTGATTGTAACCTTGTGAACTTTGACCCCCGATGACTCGGGGTTCAACTCCACCGTGTTTTTATTTTGTGCCGACACTTTGACCAAATGAAAAAAAAAAAACCTTGACAAATTGAATTCCCCTGTGTTAATAGTTCTATTTATTGTGGGCTGCCCCTCCATTGGTAAACGGACATTCACACATGATGGTGGGCGTGGTCTGATAGTCAGCGTTTGTGGATACAGTGATGCAGGGGTGTTGCCCTGCGTTCCCCATATTTAGATACTGTACACTTCAAAAACAGCCATAATGGAGAACAGCATGTATACATTTCAATAATTAGATTTAATTAATTAATGTTCAAAAACGCAAAAAAAAGTGCCGCCGTCGACAGATTTTTCAAAGCCTCAACACTAGACAGAACTAGTGTTATAGTGAAATGAGTTTGAATATCTTCATGAGGAAAAGATGAAATTGAAAAATTAAATTATTTTCTTAAATTTAGGACTTAGAGTTAGGCACCGACATGATTCAAATGTCTGCTGTGAGAAACAAACATCAGTCTGAATGAATGCAACACGTCGTACACACTTTTACTGCATCCCTTTATCAACGACCTGGAACACAGGCCACGGTTCACGCTGTTCTACTGTCAACAATCAGCTTCCTCTGACTGTAAAGGATTTTAATCACACATCTGTGACGATTTTCGACGTGGCTTTGCAAATATGCTTTTATTTTTTAATTTAAAAACAAATTCCTTCAGATGAATGTAACTGTTTCTGTCCTGTTTTATTTATTAGTCCAGTGCTGACTAACAGACTGATTCCTCCGATGCTGCTTCTTATATGTGTGCCAGCTGTCTTTTTAGCCTCCTCTGCAGCAGGCCCATCACAGACACTACATATACACTAATCCCTGTTTTCAGGATGTGCATATATGAACTCTGAGTAGATTTGTGAATCTCTGACTTATTTTGGTCCCAACACAAAACCATTCATGTGGTTCTGTTTCTTTCATTCTAAAACCATGACTTGGTTTGAAACTAGGACAAGTGTCTGGATGTGTCTCTGTGTTTGGGCCTGCGTGACACAGCTGAAGAATCTGAAACTTTTTTTGTTCTCTTCCTGATTTCCGTTTTTCATTAAAGAAAACAACCTGTAACTGTCTGTACACTCTGTTCACTGTGAGTTGAGCGACTGTGGTTTAATAAACTTTCCAGATGTGTTTGAACCCAGTGTGTTCGCCTCATAACTGTGACATTTACACACAAGCACCGAGGTAAAAACACAGACGGTGGAACGCAAGCAACCATCAGGTTAAAATGTCAATGGCTGAAGTGTTAGAGAGCAGCTGACGCCTGTCATTACAAGGGGTTTCACCAAGAATGTTTATCACCCAAGTTAAAACTTGAAGATAAATTGTGAGATTTACAAGAAAAAACTGTTTTTGTTCAAACTTCTGAGATAAATAGTGAAAATAGACAAAACTCTCTTTACCAATTTTACATAAAAACGATCAAAATTCAAAGCAGAAAATCCAGTTCTTTATAATGACACGCCGATTGTTTAAAATAATTACTAAAACAAACCTGAGGGTTAGAGCGATGTCCAGGAAGGGTTGGGTTGTTTCATTCAGAAAACTCTTGAAGAGTCGGGTTTTGGACTAAAAGACAAGTGAGGATCGGTAGAATCAGTGTTTTTTTATCATCAGGATAAAAAAAAAAGAAGTTATTTTTGTGACTTTTAAAATTCTTCACTGTGATTTACCTGAGTGTCACAGACTGGTTGTGGAGGCAGCTGTCAATCATCTGCTCCAAACTTTAATAAAGTTCTGGACACAGCTTAGATTTATAGGATCCTCTCCAATGACCTGCTAGTCCACGTCTGCAGCGACATCTGCTGGAGATAGGGAGAAGCTCAATGCAGATACTTAGGTGCACCGACCCAGAGAGTAAACGTGAGCTAACTGAAATGTCTGCAATATATATTCATGAAGCAGGGAGTGCAGGTGTGGAAGTGAGTGTTGCTGCGACAGTCGCCCGTCTGTGTGTGCCGTCACACACTGATTTACAGCGTCTCTACACACAGCAGAGGAGTGAAAGGTGTGTGATTGATTATCACAGAGGGAGAAGTGAATCTGACTCATGGCAGTGAGCAGTGGAGCGTTGACACATCAGTCACAGACCATCAGCCTACATTGGTAAAAGGACGCTTCCGGTTTTGGGTTAGTGTAGCTGAGGCACACACACATACAGACACACAGACACAGACACACAGACACAGACACACACACACACGAGCCCAGATCCAGTCTGATACATGAACTCTGTGCTCACTGGCTGAAAAAGTGGCTAAAAAACACAAGAACCTCATCAAAAGTCAATGCTAATTTACAACACAAACACAATGTTTATATGACAAAAGTGCAGAAAAAGTTTCACAGCATACTCACACAGACACAAGCTCAGTGATAGATGAACATGAACTACAGCATGTCTACATGTAAGCTGTTTCTACCTCTTTCTCCCCCTGATTGCACATTCCAGACAGCTGTAGGTGAAGGCTAGGCTAAGGCTAGCAGAGGCCCAGGCTGCAGCAGGTGAATAGCCTGGCTAAAGCTAGCAGAGGTCAGGGCTTTAACAGGTTGTGGGACAGGCTATAGCTAGCAGAAGTCCAGTCTGTAGCCAGCCAATCTTATATAACCAGCCAGGAACTTCCTGGAAGGATGTAAAAATTAGCGTTCTTTGGTGGAATCTCACATTTAAAATCAGATGAAATTAAGAGCAAACTGACAAACAACAGTCAGAGGTGGTGGTCACTTTGTCCAAAAGTACTGTAAAAGAAAATATTTGTGTTTTTACTGCAAAGTAGATTTGTAACTGCAGTTTGCACAGTTATAATTTATTGATTAATAGTATTTTGTTCAGCTGTCAAATGTAACTGGTAGGAAGTTAAAAAAAATGGCTTTGTTAATATAATTCTATACATATATATATTAAAGCTTTTTAAATTGTGTATTTGTTTTCTTTTTGGATTTTTTTTTTTACCTATTTCACAGATTTCTCACCAACACTGTATTATTTCAGGACACATTTTCAGAAATATTCCAGGTAATTGTATTTGTTGTGGGTGTACTGTATCTATAACTGTGTTGCTGCAGGAATGACCGGACATTGGAACAAGTCTGCCCTCTTGTGGATTGAAGAAGTTACAGTCAGACTGAAACGCGCTCCCCCCCCCAAAAAAAATCCTGAAATGACAAACAAAAATATTTAATGTTCTTTTCTTCATCTGATGAAAAACACCTTCATGTCGTTTGTTGCCAATTGAAAGAAAAAACAAAAAAAAAGCATGTTTAATTTTCAAACATTTTCATTAAACTCATTCCAGAGTGGAATGACTGAGAAGTCATGTTTGCTCCAGTTTAATTGACGCGTTTTGTGAAAAACGAAATGCCATATTCATGAATAATTAGCATCAAATCTAATTTTCTCAGCGTGGGGAAACTGCTATTAAACAAACAGCAGCACTCAACATGGATTTTCTGTTGTATCTTCCTGTTAAAATGTCATCAAATCAAAAAACAATTTTAGTTTACAGTTTCCTCTGATGTTTTTAACTGCCCCGTGATGAGAAGTAAATGTCAGGAATCTTTAGTGCGGAGCAAATGACCTCGAGTTGGAAAAGGGTAAAATAAGCCAGTAGTGGAGAGGTTTCAATAAAACTTCAATGTGGTGCAGGGATGGTGTGTTGTTTTTGCAATTCAATTGTAATTGAATTTTCACAATTTGCATCACAATGGATATCACCTCAAACAAGCCAGTTTACCAAGTGCTACACAGTTTGGCACAGTTTCATCAGTGCAACCATCCATTCATTTTCTTCCGCTTATCCGTTACCGGGTCACGGGGGCAACAGTCTCCATGACCGCCACCCAAATCACACTGCACCGTACAAACCCCCCCTGAACCTTCCTGCAGGTGGTCAGTCCACTGGAAGGTACCAACCGCCCTAACTGGGATTCGATCTTGCCCAGGAGGTGAACCCTGGAGTTCCACACCAATGACAGAGACACTGCCTCTGAGCCAAAGCACCACACCACTGAAAATGAATAGTTCAATACAGATACCTGTATTCTTGCACCCCTAGTATATAAATATGCATATGTAAATATATGTATATTTCTATACATATATATATTACATTTATCTTTTTGACTTCATTCATTGAATTTCAAGGTCAATGACCTTAGCCGTGCTGCATCGTGAACCAACTCTTCTGTATATGCAGGTGTGAAAATTTCCAACAAGTGAGTCAAGAGTGGAAAAAAAAGACAGGAAGTGAATAAGCAGGAGTTTTAAAACAACAAAGATAGTACATTTAATAATGTTTCTCTTTTGGACAACGTGAGATACAATGTAAACATATACAAGATAAAAAAAAAGAAAAGAAAAGAAAAAAAAAAGACTTTCGAGGATGAAAAGTTCAGATAAGAAAACGTCCCCTTTCCAAAAGGAATGCAAACGTGCACAGTCTCCCGACACTGAAGAGATTCTGACTCACATCGGGAGCAGATGATGGAGGGAGGCCATGTCAGAATGAGGCCTTCGTGGTTCACTGATGAGGTTTTAGTTTTTTAACCTTTTCATGGCATATCCTTTGAAAGGGACGAGCGGAAACATTTGAAAGAAAACAATGGAAATAAGAAACAGAAAGAGAGAAAGAAATGACAGAATAGCACCCCCTTTGGTCCAACTCAAGGCCTGCGCGTTTGCGTGTGTACTGTTGCCATGGTAACCAACAGACAGATTACAGATAATGAAGTGGGTGGTATTAAATTTTCCTCGTAAATAGTTTATAATAAAATGGACGCCGTCTCTTAGTTGTAGGGGTTTGTTTTAAAGCTTTAAAGAGATCTGATCAACACCAGGTCAGTGACCTACAACAGAGGTATTGATGGTCCCAGCCGTGCAGCTCAGGACGTCCAATTTAACATGTCGTTCCTAACAATTTGTCTGACTATGAATTATCATAACTCAAAAAAATAAAAGACTTTTCCCGGGAAAGGAAAGTGTCAAAATCTGACTTAATTCCTTGACTGTTAAATAACAGTGAATGTAAATTTAAATGCAAAATCATGTGATCATATAACCTACCAGTCATCAGCATCCATCAATTACCAGTGACAGCAGCAGCGTCAGCAGCAGTCGTTAGCATCGTCTTAATTAACACACTAATTAGAAACAGAGACTGAAGCAGAGAGAAGGAGAAACAGCACAGACAGAGGAGTGCCTGATTCCTCGACACAGCCGTCGACACAGCCGTCGACACAGACCGCTGCTACTGACACATCACATCTGCCAGGATTGATTTTGTTTTTTTTTTCGTCACTAAAACAGTCGACCGACTTTCGTTCAGACATTTGAAAAAAAAAAGTTAACCCTTGCAACGTCCTCTATTTTTCCACAGCTTTTACACTTACAAACCTTCACGATCTTCCAAAACTCCCAGAATGCCTTTCACCTGCTTCCACTCACTTTCTCAAACTCAAGTAAACCTGCGCCTTCTCAAGTTCAAAACTCCTCCTTCTATATTTTAAGCATAGCGTAGCCAGATTTACGCTAACTACTGCATCAATGCTAAAGTTTCCTGCTGTTGTTTCATTCAAGAACAGCCAATCACATCGCTAGAAACCGTCACGCAATCACACTGGTAACACCCCACTCGTCTCCCCCTCTCGCTTCCCAGTCACAAACATAACACTTTTGAAGGCGCTGTGTCTTATGTGGCTCCGCCCACCTCTTCTGACCTCTTAGGTAGTTGTACGGCCTCCCCGACTGTCTCCCCCTAGTGTTGTTGCAGATGATGACACCAGGTGTGCCATCGTCATGTACAGTGAGGCCTAGCCTTCGGTTTCACTCTGGCAATCGCGTAGGATTAAATGTGGGTCGATGGCACCAGGGAATGGGACTGGGGGGGTGGGCATAACCCCCTCGGATTCATAGTTATACTGAACCAAACACCCTCACTGTCCCTACATAAGGAGACAAACATCGCCGGTAAAACGGAGGATAAAGACAATGTTCGGTTTGTGACATTTGTGTGCTACAATTGATAATGCAAAAAGGATAGGTTCCTTTAAAAGGATAGGGTTGTAAAAAAAAAAAAAAGAGATCTCACAGCTCGTTACCTCTCGGGTTTTCCACATGGTTGGCAAAAGAGTTTCTCATTAAATGTGCTGTTGGAGAAAATCATTACTTTCCAGTTGAAAGAATGGAAACCTTTAATCTTCCTTCCATCACGGCTCATCTCCTCTCACCTCCTCTCCCAGACCCGGGCACCTGATTTATCTCCCGCCTCTCTGCAAACCTCCCACATAAACCGGCTAGCACCTCACACCTGCAAACTGTCCTCCTCATCAGACAAACACAGAACCTCAAACACCTGCCGACACTCCAGCTTTCCACAAAAACACCTGCTGAAAAGTGTCAAAATCTGACTTAATTCCTTGACTGTTAAATAACAGTGAATGTAAATTTAAATGCAAAATCATGTGATCATATAACCTACCAGTCATCAGCATCCATCAATTACCAGTGACAGCAGCAGCGTCAGCAGCAGTCGTTAGCATCGTCTTAATTAACACACTAATTAGAAACAGAGACTGAAGCAGAGAGAAGGAGAAACAGCACAGACAGAGGAGTGCCTGATTCCTCGACACAGCCGTCGACACAGCCGTCGACACAGACCGCTGCTACTGACACATCACATCTGCCAGGATTGATTTTGTTTTTTTTTTCGTCACTAAAACAGTCGACCGACTTTCGTTCAGACATTTGAAAAAAAAAAGTTAACCCTTGCAACGTCCTCTATTTTTCCACAGCTTTTACACTTACAAACCTTCACGATCTTCCAAAACTCCCAGAATGCCTTTCACCTGCTTCCACTCACTTTCTCAAACTCAAGTAAACCTGCGCCTTCTCAAGTTCAAAACTCCTCCTTCTATATTTTAAGCATAGCGTAGCCAGATGCACGCTAACTACTGCATCAATGCTAAAGTTTCCTGCTGTTGTTTCATTCAAGAACAGCCAATCACATCGCTAGAAACCGTCACGCAATCACACTGGTAACACCCCACTCGTCTCCCCCTCTCGCTTCCCAGTCACAAACATAACACTTTTGAAGGCGCTGTGTCTTATGTGGCTCCGCCCACCTCTTCTGACCTCTTAGGTAGTTGTACGGCCTCCCCGACTGTCTCCCCCTAGTGTTGTTGCAGATGATGACACCAGGTGTGCCATCGTCATGTACAGTGAGGCCTAGCCTTCGGTTTCACTCTGGCAATCGCGTAGGATTAAATGTGGGTCGATGGCACCAGGGAATGGGACTGGGGGGGTGGGCATAACCCCCTCGGATTCATAGTTATACTGAACCAAACACCCTCACTGTCCCTACATAAGGAGACAAACATCGCCGGTAAAACGGAGGATAAAGACAATGTTCGGTTTGTGACATTTGTGTGCTACAATTGATAATGCAAAAAGGATAGGTTCCTTTAAAAGGATAGGGTTGTAAAAAAAAAAAAAAGAGATCTCACAGCTCGTTACCTCTCGGGTTTTCCACATGGTTGGCAAAAGAGTTTCTCATTAAATGTGCTGTTGGAGAAAATCATTACTTTCCAGTTGAAAGAATGGAAACCTTTAATCTTCCTTCCATCACGGCTCATCTCCTCTCACCTCCTCTCCCAGACCCGGGCACCTGATTTATCTCCCGCCTCTCTGCAAACCTCCCACATAAACCGGCTAGCACCTCACACCTGCAAACTGTCCTCCTCATCAGACAAACACAGAACCTCAAACACCTGCCGACACTCCAGCCTTCCAAAAAAACACCAGCTGAACGCCTGCTGATCAGTCTCCGAGATCGGACTTCAGAGCTGAGTCGAGGAAGGAGACGGAAGGTAGAAATTGACAAGAGAATAAAAAATCTGAGGGGAAAATGGAGAAGTGGCAGCAGGGGTTTATGCTTGAAAGTGACCGAACTCCGGGTGACCATCCAGGCTCACGTGTCACTTCCTGTATGTTGTTGGCTGATACAGGAGTCTGACAGTTGGTGGGGTCAGGGGGTGTCAGGAGAGGCACAAGGGTAGGTGGACAGTGTGCACAAACAAAAACAACAACAACAAAAAGAAGAAAAGAAAAACAACAACAACACAGAATACAGAAACTATTAAAACTCCATTCAGGCACAAACGTGACAGCTCAGAGTCGGGGCCACTCAAGGGCCCCCGACCCTCCATCTGTGACCCCAGATGGCTGTAATGTCAGTACAGAATGGGTCAGTGGGTTTCTGCCGTGCTGTTTGCAAATCAATGTCTGCTGCTGACCGGAGGCAGGAGCAGCAGAGAATCTGGTTTCAGTCAATGATCGTCACACGAGAAGACGATCAAGTGTCACATGGCTGCTTTGGTCCAATCACATTCCTCCTGCTCTCAGAGCAGTGACTTTAAATGACGGGAAAAGCCGTTGATGAGCAGCTCGTCTCAGTACCAGCTCAGGAAACAGCCTCGTCCATACTTTTGTTTTCAACTTGTGAATTTTTTTTTTCCTTTCTGTTGGATGCAGAATGAGTTTTTATAAAATCTATTGCACATTTTCTCTTTCTTTTTTTACAAAACAGGGCAAAGAAAAAGTAGATTGAAAGAAGGAGAAAGACAGAAGTCACACAGATAAATGCAGGTTTAAGAACACGGACGATTCCCTTGCAGGTGAAACAGCAAACAAAGCAAATGTGGTAAAAATAATAATATTAATAATAGTCATATTAACGTGCTGGCGCAAAAACCTTAAAAGTAATTCAACACATTTACATAATGCCTTCGTCTGAACGGAATGGGATTTTCTGCCAAATGTCACCTTTCTTCTTCTTCATCCTTTGTGTCATACATATTCAAATAAACAAAACCCTTTTTTTTAAATACAAAGAAATCCAATTCATTAAAAATATCAATCTGTATAAATCCACAAAGTCATCATTTCTAAGGGGCTATAATTGTGATTGTCATAATAACATTTAACAAAAAAAGAATTGCAATAAATACGCTTCGATCAGGCATTATGTAAAGCACAATAAAGACGAAGGAAGTGCCCACGATTTGCTCAAGTTGCAGCACACAGCATCAAGTTTTTTTTTAATTATAAATTTTCACAAAGATAAATAAATTATTGCCTGATAAAAATGTCCTGAAGACAAAAAAAAGTAGCTGCACTGTGATTTGACCATGATCTCTGTACAGTTTTGGGGGAGACTGACTGAGCAGCAGTGCACCGAGGTAGAATGGGTAAAAAGAAATTTAAAAAAAACGTACCGGTTATCTGCCACAAGAGGTCTCAATTCCTCTAATTCTACTCAGGCTTTAAGAGAGTCTGGGCTGAGGTGAGGGGAGAATTAGGTTTAAAAAAAAAGACCAAATGAATATGCTGAGTGTTTGACTGCACCTTTACATTAATGCACCATAAACAGAGGCTTTAAAGTGCATTAATTCACAAAACCGAACCACTTCGTTCCTCGCTACTGTCGCTGTGTGATCACAAAGAAAAACACATGATTTGGCCATGACAGATAACTGCAGTCAAGCAGGTAGTGTAGGATTTATATATTTTGTTTGTTTGTTTGTTTATTTTATTTTTATAACTCTCATACTGACCAGCAGAATCAGGATCTAACAGTGAGTTACTCTGCAGCCTGGTGCTCACAGCTTTCGTTAGAAAATGTATTTCAGCAGTCTTGGACATCAGCCGTTTGATTTCTCAGGAAGAAATGACAATTAAAATATATATATGATGTTCAGTTTGTTCAAGTTCATAAATATTTGTATTTATGACATAGTATTATTATTTCTTCTATTTAAAGCAAAGCCATACAGCACAATACACAGACATCCCAAACTCTTAAGGCCATTTCAGGCAAGGGTCACGAAGACAGTCCACACCAACCCACTGACAAAAAACACAATGTCAGTGTGTGATTGGTGGATTATATTTACTATGTTTTTGTCTTCTTTTTTTCCTATGCATGTATACTACTTTAGTTATATTCCACTGTAACTTAAAAACAACGTTTTAAATAGCCCATACTTCTCACAGCCCGCTAGTTTCAGCCTGAATATTAGATACTGTATATATGGACATGGAATCTTGTGTTTCTACATCACAGATGGCAGCAGCAGTACACTGCACAGTGGCCACACGTCAGCCTGGGGTCACTGGTTTTATTTTATCATTACTTTCTTTTTGGTATTTTTGACTTTTCCAGAGCTCTCTTTGCCGTTCTGTCACCACTTCGACGCTCTGAACTGAAATGAGCGATGTGGTCTGAAAACTGACGAACCACTAACCAAAACTTCCCAATCACCAGGCTTTATGTCAGGTACCCACTTTCATGGGATGCACACTCTCTCTACCTCACGTTCAGTCACGTTCTTGCCCACCTCAGATTCCACTTTAACCTTAAACCCCCCGGGGTCGTTCTGAAGTTTCGGGTCAAAACATTATTGCCCAAATTAAAATTATTATTCCTCAGCAACAATAATCACGCTGCATAGTTTTGGTTTCAAAATCAAGGTGACATTTGAGAGATGGTCTGAAAGAAAAACAAATAAAAAACTCCCCACATCGAGAACTGATCGTTCTACGTAGCAAAAATCACCCCAGAACGTTGCTCTATGTTGCTAGGATGCTTTCGTCAGATGCACACTCTCTCTGCCTTGAATTCACGCTCTTGCAAATTCCATGTTCCAGGAGACTTGGGATGTCTGCATACATTACTGTACTCTGTTGTAACTGTTACAGTAAATTTATCTTAGTTTCACTGGATCAATATCTGAGGAATTGTTTTTATTGCCTACTAAAGAGGACATAATTAACAAGACAAAAATATATGTTGTTTTTTTTTTCTTTGGTTTCATCACATTTTGGACTCAATGCTAAGCACGTGTCCCTGGGATTTTACACTTTAGCTGCATTTCCAGTACTTGTTTGATAAAATCCTGCGGCAGCAGTTTATCATGGTTAGAACATATGTACAGAATCAGTCATACCCGCAGCTAAAAGAAAACTACAGTAAACATTTATAGTTGTAAACTCATTATACATTATCTTAAAGTATCAGATACCAAGATATGAGGTTAAGATTTCTGGAGAAATCTAGGGTTTCAAGTTTCGCTTTTTTTTTTTTTTTTTACTGTGACTCCAGGAAGAAAACCAATGGTAACAGGAGCGTCATTTTTGTTTGTCTAGGCTGCTGGTGGAACACAGATGTCACAAGAGAGCAGGAATAATTCTCTAAGGAAAATATTTGCATCAACACAGGACATGACAACGTCAACAATGCAACTAAAGTGAAAAACAAAACACTGACAATGCAACTTAAATTTCTAAGCTCATTTTTATGCTTTTGTGGCTCGAAACCAATAAAAAAAACTTCTCTGGTGAACTCAGTATCTTTACGTCTGATTTGATCTTCGACCACTTGGACCTCTGTAGGCTGTTCAGATGTGTAGGCCCTAGTCTGTCATTGAAATACTACCAGTGGTGTTCGCAGGCCTATGGCACTTTTAAAAAAATTTGGTAGATTTAAAGTGTCGCCATCCACCATCCAGAACCTCCATTGCGGTTATCAAATACAAAAGGCACTTATTGGCCGTTATAGTTGTCGTTGGGCAGGAATAAGCGACGCCATTACACTGCTCAACTTCTGCATCACACCATGAAAACCTCTCTCAGAAGTCATCACTGCCATTCACATCAATCTACGGTGACCGATCCCAACTTTCTGTCTCTCACTCACAGTCAAAATATTTCTGCATTCTTTACAGTTGTCTGCTGGTACATTTCTGATGAACCAGCAGTGAAAGTGTCCTTTTCATTGTATCGGATCATTACAGGTTCAGTTTTTGTCATGGATGAACTTCATGACAGGGGTATTGCTTAAAGGAGATGGAGCGGAACATTCTTGAAGAGCAATGCCAACTGGAGACATCAAAAATGGACATGGGTTCAGGGGGTAGAAAAGGATGGATGTTTTTCCTACTTCTTCCGCTCCAGGTAGTTGGATGGGACCCATCCCTTACGGGGTATGAGACTGTCCTGCACCTGGCAGTACCACCATCCATTTGGGTTTCTCTCTAACACTTCCAGAAAAGTGCCCTCAGTGAAACCCATCGTCTCCTCATCCCCACGGTAGTCAGCGATGGACACGTAAACATCTCTACCAAGGTTGTTGTGGATCAGTTGACTCTTTTCTATTGGCTTGGGTCGAACCGTGGACACCGGGATGCCGTTGCGATGATTTACTCTGCTGAGCGGGTCCTGTGTGTTACTTGCACTAAAGGAGCTGCCCGAGGAGCTCAGGCTGGAGCGTTCCGTGGGCCTTGTCTGACTTTCGACCACCACGTGCGGCCTCACGGTGCTGAAGGAGGCATTTCGGCGGACACCAAGAGTTGCAGAACCAGAGAAGTAGTGATCGCTTCTGACGTGGGTCTCATTTCGCCTCAATGATCCTGTCATGTAGTGCCCGTCCTTGGGTGATTGCGTTGTAGTCACAAATACGGACTGGGGCCTCACCGCTACCTGCCGTACCCCGTTCCTCATTCGCACGCCTCCGTTTACCATCACTGCGGGTTTGGAGAAGCCACCAGGAGGCTTGGACGGAATTGGAGGTGTGTTTCCTCTTAGGCCCTTGTGCTGATGCTGCTGCTGCTGCTGCTGCTTCTGTGTCGGCCCTTGAATGTTAATATTATTCAGAGCCAAGACATGCTGCTCATTCTTCTCCAGGCTGTTGGACTTACTCCCACCACTGCCATGCCCATCTGTATCCCTTCTTCCAGCCTCTCCCACTGGTCTGACAGGCTCCAGGTAGTAGGATGGAGCCCAACCCTCCTCAGAGCCCCAGCGGACATACCACCAACCACTGGCCTGCTTTTCTAGGACTTCCACCTCCACACCAGCTGGGAAGCTGATCTCAGAATCCTGAACTTTCTTGTACACATCCACAGAACGGTACAGGACAGGAACTTCCAGGTCGGAGTCACTGCGACTCCCTTTAGAGTAAACAGAGGAGAGATCCGAGGTGCTGCGTGAACACATCGAGTCCTCCGACGAAATAACAGAAGCAGTTTCCGAGTCATCCCCACGAGAAGGTTTGAGTCCAGGTCGGAACTGACTGGAAGGCCTTAGCTGACGTCTTAAAGAACCAATGTCCTTCCTCTCAGGAGTCTGAGGCTCTGATTTGGTGAGGAGAGGTTTAGGTCTGACAGAAGGCTTGGGTCGGGTGGAGGGGCTTTGACCTATTTTCTGCTCTACATCTGGAGTGAAAGCGGAGCTCTTCTTAGGGCCTCTGCTCAACTCATCTGATGAGGAGAGGGGGCTGCTGTCTTGTGACCGGAGGCTGATATCGACGTGTCTGCCCAACGTCTGACTCCGGCGGTTCATCTCTGGAGTCATTGCTTTCATGCTTCTACCTGCTAAAGGTGAGGATCCAGAAGGTTTCCGTGGGACCGTGGAGGAGTGATAAGTCTTTGGGGAGCTGGGCTCACTGGAAACTCTGGCTGACCTTCCTTCACTTCCACTGCTTGATCTGAAGCCATCGTTTTCATAAACACACTCCTCTTTGGTGATCTCCTCCACGGACCTGAAGGTTGATCTTTTGTGGCTAAACGCAGGAGATGTCTTGCAGAGCGGAGGGGAGGCTTTGCTGGAGGGCGGAGAGCTGCGGTACTTGTCAGTGACAGCGCCACTGATCTTCACATCCAGGGGGCGCTCATTCTTCAAGGAATCCGTATCAGACTCACCTTCGCAGCCAATAGATGGGACGTCATACTCAGGCTCCTCGTACACGGGTCTGCTGGGTGGCTCTGTTACTTTGAGAGCAGGGTTAGCAGGAGGGGGGGTCTCCTCGGTTTCTTGTTTTTTAACAGGCGGCGCCGGTGGTGGGACTTTGGGCCGGGTCAGTGTGCTAGTTCGACGGCTGAGGTTGGGTTTTTTGCGTTTGTCGATGTACGAACAGGGGGCCCAGCCTTCCATCTCACCAATCTGTACGTACCACCAGCCTCCAGGGTTCTTCTCTATCACCTACACAGAAAAAAATCAATTATATTTACATAAAAACATGACAAACACTGACAATTGAATTATCAATAGAGAAATATAGAGAATTCTTCTATCACTGTCATTGTCTGTACGTCTCTGTCAGTATTTTGTCCTTATTTAACCAAAAACTGACTGCATTAGACAGGATGACACATTTTCTTCTCCACATCATAATGTCCACATAGATCATACAACGAGCTTTCGTCTGGTCTCAGTGGCGGACAGCGAGCCTCTTACGTCAGCCTTTTGTCCTCCACGGAAACTGATGCCATCAGAGATGGAGGACTGGAAGTCTGCTATAGTGTAGTACTCTGCTTCCACAGCAGGGGGCTCTGGTGGTTTGGGCAACTGGAATCCCTGTGCAGCAAAGGACGGAGGAGGGAGTTAAAGAACTGACATCATTATTTCAAAAAAATTTTTGAATATTTGTGCAAGACTCTTTTCTCTCTGGCCAGAGACAATTCTTTTAGTCTTTGTTTTTTTTTTATTAAGGTCAGTTGTTAAAATTGAAAGGAGAGGCATTCAGAAGACCAACAGTCAGACCAACAGACTGAGACTTCAAAACCACCCCCTGGAACAACTCAAATCACAGGTACAGTATCTATAGAAAACTGCATTAATGTCTAAGTCAAATTTACCTTCACCAATCAATTTTACTATTATTATTAATTATTTCTCTAATGAAAACAGGCTTAAAAAATCTTCTTAACATGTGTAGTCTGCAGTGATATTAGAAGACATCTTACCAAGTTAGGGTCTCTGCGGGGGGGAGGTTTTTGTCTCAGATTTGGAGACCCTGGGGAACACAATGACAGCTCATTAAAATGTGAGTGCAATTTAAGCAACGCGTTCCTGGGTTCAACAGCGTGCTGGTGGAGAAAAATGGGTCATACGTTGGTAGTATGTCAGAGAAAATACACTGCAAAGTACCACACCGGTTGGTGTAGTTAATGTACCAGGTGTTACAGTTTCATCAGCAGAACTACAAGTCACAGCAGCCATTTAGGTTACCCACAGCACATAAGCCTGGAAATGGGAAATGGCAGAGCTTAACGTCACATAAAAAAAAAAACACTTTTTATAACTGCGGTATATATTAAGCATGAATATATACATATATACAAACAAAAAAGTAAAAAGAGTAAAACATTGGACAGTTAGAGATAAAATTTGCGAACTTTGCAGTCGCCCCCTGGTGGATCACGTACGTATGGTACAGTATATGTGCTAAAACACTCACCGATTTCCACTCGATGTGGCGCCACTCTGGCCACAGCTGGGGACCCCGGCTCCCCCCTTGCCTTGCTTTCTTTCAGAGCAGAACTTGCTGCTATTCCCAGACAGGGACTGTTGGTGTCGCGGCCAGCACTCAGCCTCCTGCCAGTCTCGGCGTTGATTTCGGCGCTAAACGGCATCGGCAGACTGATCTCACTCTTGGAAATGTGGCGCTCTGGGGTAGTGCTTCCCTCTCCGTCTGTCTGTATGTCCTTTTCGCTGACTGACTTCTTCTGCAGCAGGTTGCTGATTTCCATGATGTTGCCGATGATTTCCACAGGGCCTGTCAGTGTCTTCTTGCGGGGTGAGAAATCGTCTTTCAACTTCTTCAAGTAGGACGCAGGCGCCCAGCCCTCTTTACCCAAATACCTGAAATGCATAATGAAAAAAGTATACATGTTATAGTCTGTGAATTCTTTTCATATTGTCACAAAAGATTTAATGAGGTTAAGTTAGAATTATTTATATTTTAGCACAAATAATTTGAGAAAAAAATGGCAGACATAAATAAATAAATTAGCCAAAATGTGACTGAAAGACCAATTTGAAAAAAACACATTTAGACTGTGAGTTAACAACCAGAGCCTGAACCAGTGATATTCTTATTGTAAGGCCAGAGCAATCACCACCTTTCTAATCTTTTGCCCCCTTACTCGCTCAGTTGCAGACAAATAATTTCCTGCGTCAAAAGGATGTGACTACTGGAAGATACTGATTGCAACCACAAGGGGTCTCTCTGACAAAAACTCCAGATCTGGCAGTGGAGGAACAGCCCCACTGAGAGAAGCATGACTCAGAAATACATCTGCGGGATTATTTCAGTGTTTCTGAATCAGGAAAACAAGCTGCAGCAAACAAGCCGATTGTGCATTGGTTTTGGCAACGCAGCGCCAACAATCACACTGACAAATGAACACCTTTATCAGGGACGGTGTGTGTGTTTGTGTTTGCTGGCAAACAATAGGACGTGGTTATGACATGTACTTCCACGTGTGCACGCAGTGCCACGAGGCATCATGTGACAGTTATCAGCTGTGCACCGTGTGCAGCTTCACTCTGACTCCCCCAGGACTCAAGGAGGAATAACAATGATCAGGAAAAACACACAGGGTGCTTGATAAACACACACACACACACAGAGGGACACAAACACGAATCAACGTTAGACGTCAAAGGCAGAGCAGTGGCACCGATTGATCTGTGCAATTCTGCACATGGTAATGATTCCCTCACAGAACCATTTACGCAAATGAGAGCTGCAGAGAACTGTAGTGAGCACCGCCTCACGCAGAATGTTAGTGTTGTCTGAGGACACTGGGGGGCTTTTTTCAGTCTGGACATGGCGGGACTGAGTACTTCCAAAATTTGACAGCAGGTGGAGCTCTAAAGGGAGACAAGTGTAGTTTTCAACATATTTACATTCGAAGCGCAGAACGTCCTGTCTGAAGGATGCTTTCTTTTAGGGAAAACTCATTTACCCTGGCTGGAACTTTGAAGTCTGTAGCTTTTCTGTTACAGCATAGAGTGAGATTGTTGAAGGTTAAATTATGTAATCAGAAAATCCTGCAGGTTGAAGGTTTTTGCTTCGGTATTCGAAATAGCAGCGTTCCATTTGTGCTGCTTTGTTTTGCCTCTTAAGGTTAGCCAAAAATATAATTCCAAGTGTAGTGCAACATGAGCCAATATCTTACAAGACACCACTGTACAACATGTTTGTTTGTGAACAAGAAATACATAAAGAAGGATTGGATTAAGTTTTATGAATTAAGAGTGGATGTTCGAGTTCAGGTCACCAGGTCTACAAACTAGGCAAATTATGCTAGTTTTAATGTTAATACTAACATTCATCTGTTTAAAAACAGAGCATGGGCTCCACACTGCAGTTTGAGATTATGACAAAGCCTTCAGTCTGTACAGCGGTTTATCACCGATCACTGTCTGCTCACCTGATGTACCACCAACCCTCCAGGTTCTTCTGGATGACCTCCACGGTGACCCCTTTCTCAAAGCTGACTTCATCCTTCCCCTGGCTGCTGTAGGCCTGAATGGTCACATATTTCTCTTCTGTACAATATGAAGAAAGAGACGAAAAGAAGCGACAAGAGCAAAGTGTTGTTAGTAACCAACAGTGTGTGATAAATGCAAGGTTATTTAGCATGCTAACGTTCAAGTAGCGTGTTCATATTTATAATACTAAAACATGCACTGGTTCACAACCAGGCCATCTGGACCATAACTTTATAGTACTGCAGGTTGTGTAGTTTCATTTCATGACTCACTAGATAATGTTGGTCTTTTCTAGACTTACTGCAAGGTGAGATTTCACAAAGAAACGTTCAGAACATCTCTGAAAAATGAATGCAAGATCTCACCAAAGTGTAGATTTTAATTCTCGCTAAAATTGTTCTGAATGATTTATGACAAACCATGGCTCTCAGAGCCTCAGAGAGTCAGGTTAAACCGGGCCACATCATACGGTCTGCTCAGAATCCTTAAGAGTGGAAAATGGTGAATGTGACCTACTTAGAACACAAATACCCTCGACCCCCATCTTACACAATAATATCAAGCCGTTCCTTCTCCTGGGCCCATTACCAAGACCTCATTCAGTCTGCTTGCGCTCCAATCCATTAGCAATAGCAATAATAATTAAAATGATACATATACACACAAGAAAGAACAGTTCACACATGAGGTTCAAGATATCCATAAAAGCATCAACTTTGGGCTGAATTCCAGCAGGAGGCGATTCCAGGATCACATCAGGGCCTCCCTAAAGAAGATAAAAATGTTGGACTGGTCTCTCTTCGCTCAGATCCCCATCTGACCACCATCCCTCTCTCACGCTCTGCTTCACTTCCAAGACCTTGTAGGAAAGGAAATCCTGAGATGGGCTTAGTGGGGGAGCGGGGTCAGTTTAGGGGATTTACAGAGGCTGAATAGGGAAAAGAGGAGCAGAACCAGAGCGGGCTGAGTCAGAGAAGAGAGAAAAGACCTCAGACGGCTGAGGCCACATCTCTGAGGCCTGGATTCATGCATTCATCCCAGGAGGTGGGAGAGAAGAGATTGGGCTTTGGGCACTGCTGAGAACCTACACTTGTCTGTAACTGGGAGAGATTCGTCAACGTACGGTGAAAGGGAAGTTAGTTGTTGTTCAATGGAATCTAACCGACAATCCTCCTGACACACCCTGACCAACTGGCTGCGTATTTTGTGTAACCAGAATTGTTAGATATGGACCGTGTTGTGTGTTTGTGTGTGAGGACAGAACCTGCAGATGGTCATATTTGGAGAAGCTTAGACAGGAATCGGAGACGTTACGTGTCTTCGTCTGTTGTAGGAAAACATGTCAATTCCCCGAAGAATGGAGTTTTTTTTTATATATATATATAAACGAAAAAAATGAATCACATTCATTAATCATGTCAGTATAAGTGTGTGTGTGTGTGTGTGTGTGTGTGTGATGGGCTGGAGCCACTCCTGAGTGTCTTTATCGTGTATTGCGTGTGTGTTGGCTTTATAGCTGCGAGCAGAGACAGAGCAGCGATGTGATTGGACGGTCAGCAGCATCATAAAAATCAGATTTAGGGACCTGCAGTAAATGGAGGAGGACAGAGCAGAAGACCAGGAGGTCACGTCAACTTTAGGAGCCTCACTGCTTCCAAAGAGAAAGATCAGGACGTCCTGACTAACCTCTGGGCCAAGAGCAGTCTGCCATTCTTTTCTTTTTTTTTATTGGAACGTCATTTTATTTTATGTTGCAGCTCCTGGTGAGATGGTGACCTCATTCTCTTTATGAAAAACCAGACAAGATTTATTTCCTGAGTCAGCAAACATCCTCCAGAAGATAGCTCTGCTTCCGTCCATTAGTAGATTACAGCCTCTCGCAGCATAAATCCTACATGAAAAGATGTTGGTTTTTGTCCTTCTCCAATGCTGCTGAAACCAACTGGACCTTAGAGCTGTAGAGCATCTCTCCCACCAGCTTCTCATCTCCACCTCAGTCAGAGACGACGGTGCTTTTATTCACAGGGTAATCTTTTCAGTGAATGACTGTGTCCTGAGATTCTGGGAGTACTGTATTTAAATTAGGGTGAGTGACCAGGAGTGACTACAGGAACTATTCATCTGGTCGTGCATTTTCAAACATATAAACACAATAAAAAAAAATACAACAAAAAATATGTTATATAATAAGTACCACCATTTTTTGATATTATTGACAGAAATACTTAAGTACGACTGGGTGATTGACAGGTGTCCATCGTAGCTACTAGAAGAGAAAGGTCATTAAGAAATGTGCATTAGGGCAAATATTATCGTTATAATTATAATTATTATTATTATTAGTTTTAAATCTGGTGCTCAGCGATTTTAGGTTCACATATAAACAAACGACGGGTCCCAGGTGGTGGGATTCAGCACTGGTTTAGGACTGGTGCAATCACACCTCTCAACCAATGAGAGCGTGTGGGGGTGGGGCAAACACTGCTGCAGCTTTAGCTTGTGCAGAAAGGTACCGAACACTTTCATTCATTTTAACTGAACCACTGCTTTGTCTCCATGTCCCAGAGTTGTTTTGGTTGGTCACTGAATTAACTGCAGAACCAGGGTTTTTAAGAGGGTAAAGATTAGAACACACAGTAGTTAGAAATTCACCGATGCCTCCATGGGTAAAATAAGTCCATTCAATATTTGTGAGTGCTGCAGAAATGTGTAGTAAAACCTTGTAAATCTGAAGAAAAGAGTTCAGGGTTGCTCCTACAGCTGGATCATCTCAGATCCACATGCCTCTGCTGAGCAAACCCTCATGTGTTTCATCTTCAGCGCAGCAGCTTCTGATTTAGGAGGACGTTTTTATGAGACAAATTTGGTCCCTTTGCATGGAAGCATTTTCGTGTGTTGAATAATGATCCCTGTCCTTTTATAGGAATTTACTGTAAGTTGTTCTATTTCATTTTTATTCACTTCATTTGGTTTGGCAATTTTTTTTTTTTTTCATTTTATGGACTTTTTTAAAAAAAAAAAGCAATCACTTGCAGGCGTGGATTTGCCCGGAAGGAACTGAGAAAAATACATGAGTGAAGAAGGTGCCTCTGGTGGAGGCAGGTGGTAAATCAAATAAATCAATAAAGGACACCAGAGCTAACGTTAGCTACAACAGTCCTGGTACAGACACCAGAGCTAACATTAGCTTCAACAGTTCTAATACAAATACCGTAGTGTTCGCTACAATTATTCTTCTCTATTCTCAAAAGTCTTTCTCAAACTATTCATGTCCCACCACCAGTTTTCTTTATATCACACAGTGCAGGTTGCAGTCAAAGACTGCAGTCTTCCATGTCCATGTGTCTGTACTGTGTATGTCAAAAACCAGTGTCAGAAGCAAAATTCTCAGAAGATACTGCCTCTAAAAGGAGTAAAAAGTGCAGCTTAAGTGAGAGAGGATATTTGATGTCCTGGCTCTGTGCTGGTGACAGCTGGCTGTGTGACTCATCCAGACTCCACAGAGGCCAGCACTGGTCTGACTGATTAAAGTCAGTGAGCTGATGAGGACGCTGCATCAATTCTTCACTCTCCTCGTTGCAGTAAAGCCAGATCTTAGATTCCTCTGAGTCATGTTTACATAACGAAAACTGTTAAAAACCAAAAAGTGTGACGTCAGTTTAAACCAAGCTGAAGCCTTAGGAGAGCATTACCTGATCCAGGAGCTCTGATAGGACAGACTTCAAAATAAGTTAAAAATAAACAGAATCAAAGTCTGTTCTACGTCGGGAAGTGCGATTTACCTTTGTGATGTCAGTGCAGAAACAAGCTCAGCACTGCCCTCTAATGTCTGGCTTAACAACAGCTAATATAGCTGGTCTGTGGTTTTCACGTTCATTCACACTAACTAGGTATTTACATGTTGGTGCATACGTTTGTCCAATGCGGCTGTATTCACCTCGGCTCTGCTGGCGGTTGACTATCCCCCCCAGGGTCCAGCGGCGGTCTAGTCTCTTCAGATGAGCCTTGCGTCTCTTAGTGACTGATGAAGATGAGGAGCAAAGAAAAGAAGAAGAAACCAAAGCTGGAGTTAGTGAGAGTTAGAAATGCAAACTAGAAACAGAAGAAGCAAAAATTAAAATGGAAACATTTTGCTGCTCCACAAATTCCTGGATAAGAGACTCTAAATGTTCGTACAAAATTCCTCCAAGCTGTAGGGCTGGGTTTGAAACTGGGTTTGACTTTTTATTGTGACATTGTTATTGTGTTTTCTCCTGACTCTCATTTATACCAATTTGTTCATGAATTTGAAGTTGAAACCTCCACAAACTCATGCCAGTTGTTGAGGTGATATTCAGTGAAACAAAAACTTTTTCCCACAGTGTGTATAAATAACAGTGTGTTTTGACTGTGCAACAGAGCAATAATCAGTCAATTGACTGTGAAATTATTGGATATTGGATGTTATTATTGGCTTAACGGTGCATGTGATTTTTTTTTTGCCAATTAATTACCAATTAATGTGTTTAATTGGTTAAAAAAATGTATTCTGATAACGTAACAAATTAAATGTCATCACAACACGCCAGCAATAGATAAGTCAACAAATGACCTGAAGTGTGCCAATTAGATAAGTCAACAAATGACCTGAAGTGTACGCTGACACAACAAAACGTCTGCCCTTCACGACATACTGACGATACGTTACATTCGCACATTATTATAATTAACAGTTGGAGCCGGCACGGTCTGCAACCTCTGACCTCTGCCACTTCTCATTAGTTCAAAGCCTGCGTAAGGAAAATACAACCATAACAATTGTTCTCTCATCTCGACATTTCCTCTGGGGTCACATGATGAACAACAGCGTTAACGAGGGGGAGGAGCGACGGGAACAGCTCTAATCTCCTATCTGTCCTTGACTGTCCTAACTCTCCATCACTTCCATCGTCATCCTTCTTCATCAACCATATGCTCTTCCTCCTCTCTCCTCTGTGTATGTCATTTCCTTTTCTTCCTTCCTCAGAGCACCTCTCCGACCTCCTAATTGAAATATCAGTAAGTTGGGGATGGAGGGGGTGAGATGTTATTTGGAGTTAATTTCAGGCAAGTCTGTTGCTTCCTCTGCAGCTCGCCAAGCTGTGGGCGAAATTAGGTTACAGACCACGCAGAGATAATGAGATGTAAGAGACGACAGGAAGTGAGAAGGAGGGCGGGGAGGGTGGTTGGTGTCGGGAGGTCTGGAATGAGAAGTGATGATGTGTGCAAACATAAAGACACCAGGCGTAATGGGAAAACCGAACCGCTAACAGAGGATAGCGTCTGTGTGTGTGTCTGTGGTGGGGGGCACAGGGGGAGGGCATGAAGGTACAACATATATAAGCTGTGACCTCAGACATAAATCAGAATCCTTGTTTGTACATCCATGTGGTTCAGGTAAATGGGTCTCCAACCAGCGATCGGCTTGTGATATGGCAGTGGTTCCTAAAGTGGGGGGCGGGGTGCAGAGCTAATGCAGATGAAGCAAGTTCATTTTAATTTTGAAGCAAAACAGCCAAATATGAACATGTGAGGGGAGGGGCTTAACTATAACTGTATCTAATTGGACGTCAACTAAACCAAACCAAAACAGTATTTTGCAGAAGAAGCGGGAGCACACGTCAAGATTTTGTGTGATGCAGTACATGTGAGTATCAGCGTATCCTAACCAGATGGAATTGAACCCCAAACCTTTTACATGGTATGTGTGAATCCAACAACTACGCCTCCCACTTCACCATCTCGGCCCCAAACAGGAGCTCCAGGAACAAAAACATCTCGTGGAAACGTCAGTCCCACAGGAGAATAAAGAGGAATTTTTGGACACTGCCAAAACATTACAAATCCTCTGGCCTCAGAATGGTACCACTGGGCCACAGTGCTGGAACTGTTCTCGGTTCTCGGTTCAGGTTCATGGTTCAGAGAGGTTCCTAAATCCCACAACTTCATCCGGTTTTATATTGGAACATCGTCTTTTAACGAGCATGTGTGCCTACCTTCTGCGGTCCTGGAGGTGCCGAGATCTAAGTCGTCTCTGGTTCCATTCTGGGAGTCCAGGTAAGTAGCAGGCACCCAGCCCTGCTCCTCTGCTGTGCTGACGAACCACCAACCTACACACAAACAAGAGAAGTGGACGATCACATTAGCATTGCTAGCACTCAATACGGCTGCATAATGACAGAGAGCATCGACCTGATGTGGTGATGATCCAATGAACAGAAAAGACTGATAGTGACTGTAAATGAACAGGCAATGACACAAAAACCCATTAGAGTGGAATCTACAGCATGAACCTAACAGAGTGGTTTACTAATGCACTGGGCAGGTCCACGGAACACGGAACACATTTGACTGTCAGCTCTTCAAACATCAGTGTGTGTCATCGTTGGCCGTTTACTTTATGTGAGCAGGTCTCCTTAAGGAAACAGATCATTGATCTGACAGACAGGAAATGACAGTGGTGGAAGGTTGGAACTGGATCTGACACAATCACGAATAAACTGGAGGAGTCCCAGAGGAAGGAACACAACAATATAACAATAACAAATAATAATAAAATGAACAGGAACAATAATCATAATAATACAAGTATTATTCATAATAGTAAACAGCCTAACCAAAATAAACAAACTTTTCCTGGACTTATCAGCTGATAGTACAACTAAGTCAAAATAAAAATCACATTTTTGTCTAAAATGATTCTTTTGATGTTTATTTTGGGATCCAGTTGCCGGCCGGATTAGACTGTTCTGTGGGCCCAGATTTGGCCAGCGGGCCGCAAGTTGATGATCACTGGTGTAGGGCTATACAGTTATGTGTCAAACAACGAAAGGAAGCTTCTAGAGAGAAACATCATTTTCAGGCAGCTGGATGGTGACAACTTCCCAAGTCCAAGTCTGACTTTCCAGTCAGGAATGGTAACATGAGACATTCGTTTCAGTCAAGGACAAGCAGCAGCATAAAACACAGACGTGAGGCCTGTGCTACTGTTATGAAGACAGGAGGTGGAGCTATAGGTGGCGCAGATGTTTCTTCAGAAGGACCAGCTTTAGGACTGAGGGGATCAGAGCAACAGTTAGTGTGGAGCAGCTGGGAGATAAAGTTAAGGAGGTGAGGTCGAGGTGGTTTGGGATGGTGGATTTATTGGACAAAGAATGTTAACGACGGGGACAGCAGGTAGGAATAAAGGTCACAGAGAAGATTCACGACCGTACAGATGGTGTAGGTCACGGAAGACAAAAAAAAAAAAAAAAGAAATAGCAGCTTTAAATCTGAGTGTGATACTGACACAGCCAACCACTGACACTGGGAAGTAGAGAGAGACCTCACATCAAAAAACCCTCAGGAATCCGTCCATGACTTTTAATGTGTCTGTTAATTTGACTGACCGAAAATGCCATTTGATGTCACCGCCATGACATCATCACCAAGTACAACCTTTATTTAGGTGTAAGTACAAAATATCAGACCGACCGTTGGTCGCGTGGTGAGGTATGATGTCAGGGCTGTGGGGTGAGTAAATGTAAATCAATAAATCAAATCAAAATAAAAAAAAATCAAATGAATGAACAACCTTTAATTCATTTTTTAGCCAACACTCAATTTCTTCAATACTGAACCATTAGGTTGATAAAAATCCACCAGGACAATTCCACGTCAACACAACTACTTTGAACATCAATCATGCATCAAGGTGAAATCATTTCTTGATATTTATCCCAGTGAATCAGTGCAGTGGATTGGTAGCCTGGAACCTAAAATCCAACATTTTCCTTCAGGGACTTTGGTGTAGCATTGACGTCAGATTGTGTTTCCACAAAACTGAAGTTGACCGCCTGGTAGGAAAGAGACTCAAGACGATATAAATTTGCACAAGCCAAGACTTTACAACGTCAACCAGGGACACGCGTGTCTGCACTAGAGAGAGAGTCAAAGGCTCAGACTGGCCAAAAACCAAGGCCTGACACACACTTCCATTATAGCATTTCCTGACAGCAGGTGTTGAACAGCATGGGAGGGGAGAGTGGGCGCTGCAGACCCACTCCCTGAATCAGGACCCTGACCGCTCTCTGGAGTCCTCTTGTCTTGGTAAGTGGGACTGAATATGTAAGTGCAGTACCAGTGACTTCATAAATAATGAGCAGTTCGGGATTTTCTTACTTTCTAAAAACGAATCCAACGATTATGTCATGACAGTCAAAGTGTAGCCTGGTTATGCTGCTCTGCTCTCAGCTGTGGGTGGAGGAGAAAAGACAGTCTCCCCATCACACCCTCTCTATGAGCCTGTCACCATCACACTTGATATGCATGTTGTAGAAAACACACGACCAACAAACATAGGTCATGTTGTTGAAAAACCCTTCGGGTGGTCACCAACTATATTTGTCAGAGGCCCAGAATATTTGGGGGCCATTATTTGATTATTTTAAATCCAGTTGTGGGATGGTAAGGCAGGCCAGATTGGGCTTGTGGGCCACCAGTTGATAAACACTGCCTTAGATAGAGGGATGGTTGGATGGATG